CTGAGAACCGGGCAGGGCAAAAGGAGAAGGAGTCACGTGGATACAAGGTAGCAGCTGTTCCTACTAAAGATAAGTACAGGAGTGTGAGAAACTTATCTAAATACAAGGAAACATATCTACAAAAAAGGCAAAAGTGTAGCTACAAGGTAAAATGATAAAATCATTTCAATTCAGTAACAAGCCTGAGATGATTATGCCCATCACTGTCATAACATAGAAGTTGCTCATACAGATTGATAAGAGGACAAACACACAATGCACAGAGCAGCCAATCCCCAGAATCAACAGCCATGTAAAAAGTTGCTTAACCATACTTGTGGGGAAATTCAAATTAAAAATAAACATGAGATAATCAAGTTTTCATTCACTGGATTATCAAAATAACAAGAGATGTAACATCAGTTATCGGTGGAGAACTGGGTACTCCTATAATTGTTCATGGAATTGTAAAGTTTACCTTTTTAGAAATAAATATGATGAAATATTTTTATTAAAAAAATATGTCCTTTAACTAAGCAAGTTTACTTTTAGAATTCTACAACAATCCAGCATATGGAAATATAAGTACTGATATATACAGTATTGCTACATAAATTTTGGTATATACAAATATACCCATTAAACACTAAGCAGTAATTAAAAGGAATTAATTATATATGTGTGGGCTGATGGGAAATTTAAACAAGATGTGAAACAAACATGATCATGACATAAAAGCAAAAAGAAAGAAGTCGGCATGCTGTTTTAGAATTGTCTCCAGTTTCAGTGAAGAGAAATTTAAAATTCATGGGTAAAAGGGGTATAAAAAAAATCTTCATGGAATGTGATAAACGACATGTGAAATGAAAACAAAGTCCAATTCCTGAACTTCCTAAGACACTCCACAGCTTCGTCACCCACACAAACCCACAGCAGCACAACGCTCCAAGTGCCATACAAGCCCCATGTCCATTTTTTAGGTCTTAAGCCTCTTACCTACTAAGAATGATAAAGTACAGTTATCCAAAACTCAATTGCCTTTACCTTGTTACTGTTTTGGACAGATTAGGAGTTAATTTCAATGTATGTATGCATTTGGGAGAGGAACAATTTTCCCAGGATTTTTTTTTTATTGTAGTTAAATTCAAATTTGGAACTTGTTGATACTCAGTATTAGCCAGTAGGCTATTAATCATGGGAAACAGAACAGAAGAAATAGTCTTGAAAAAAAAACTTCTTTAAAAGTAATATATACAGTTGAGAGTCAGTTTAATAATAGCTTTCCTTCTAAAAAAGATAAACCACTAAGAATACTTGGAGTGGCCATTTAAATCCCAAATAGACCTCTCATTTTTCTCTAGGATAGTGTCAGTTAAAACAGTTAATCACTTAAACATCGTTATTGTATTTGTTTTAATCTGAGAATAAGATTACCAGAGAAGAGTGTAAAATTCTTCAACAGGAATGAAAATATAACTCAGACAAGTTTACCGATTAGTAAAGATAATAATTTCTAGGTCCTTTAATACATCCCTCTGTTCTCGAGGAAAGTAACAACTTCAGGACTGAGGAATGGACACACTGTGGCAGATACAGGCACTCTAGACAAGTTAATTCAGATCATTACAAAGTATGACCTAAAGGAAACTATAGAGCGACAATCTACAAAGTAATGCTTGGGCAATTTGAACGATTCAATCAGCCCCTAATTTGCATACAGCCATGCTGCTGTCAGTTGGAAGGTGTGAGAAGCCGGTGCCGTGAATAAGTGGTCCACTTTTGAGCGGTTGCTCAATACCTTTACTTAAAGTCCCTTATTGTAAAGAAAGTCTTTTAATAGGTTTTTTTTTTTCTGAAAACTTCATGCTTGTTAGTCAAAAAATACAAGGAAAAATAAACCTGTGTCCATTTACAATGGTTCTCATTATAAACATTTTCAGATTCCTTACATTATGATTGAAGCCACATGTGGCATATTTATATCGTTAGGTGATTTTGCTTCTAAAATGACTCCTGAGCATTGTTCTGTAAGGAAGACGTGTTGCCCTGTGGCCAAGCATGGTTTTGAGAATGACAATACCATAAAAGACAACACTGCATTTTTCTATCCAGCATTTTAGTAGATGTTTATTACTGGCTAATTAATTTCTAGATATTTTTTGAGACACTGTCAGAGAAAGAGCATTCTTACTATTACTTAGGACAGCAAATTCGGATCTTAATAATAGTAATGCTTCACATATTCAAGATTCCTTCTTACCCTTTCCTGTTAAATCTTTGCATTGCATTTTCCATAACAAATATCACTCATAACAAATACATTACAATTTAAATAATGAAAGGATCTCTCCTCTTGGTCCTGAGATGTCCAAATTTGATAGTACAGTGAAGGAGAGGGAGGGCAGAAGAGGAAGGAGCCCTCAGTGAGGGTGTGCTCACTGTCTCTGTACCAGGCACCTGTCCCTAAGGTGCTACTGATGCGGGCTCGGCGAGCCAAGGAGTCGAAAGAAAGATTTCTTGAACTCTCGAGTTCTGGTAGTCGTGCTCCTTTATTCAGATAGCATGGGGACAGGACCCATGGGCAGTGAAGAGCTACAATGTGTTGAAGGTTAGGGTAAATTTATAAGGCATGGGTACGTGACTTATTTTACCAAAGGAAAGATGACGTAAAAAGTCATTAAATGCTATTGGTGCAGATGGGGGTCTGGTTATTGTGTGGTCGTATAACTTCAGTTATGAATTGGGTCATATAGATCGGCATGTAGGCCAGGATGCCTTGGGCTTTTCTCCCTGGGGCAGCTCTGATCACATCACTATCAGAAGGTGGTACGCACAGAGGAAAGAGCTGAGGCCTTCAGGTTGGCCACACATAGGTTTAAACCCCAGCTATGTGACCTCAGAACACATATTTAGCATCTCAGATCCTCATTTTCTTCGTATGTAAAGTGGAGATAACAATACCTGCCTGAAAAGACTCAGGCAGATTACATGAGGTAGGTGTTAATGTGAGTCACCTATCACAGGGCCGAGGGTGTGAGCGTCTAAAAATGATTTATGTGGATGTAATGGGACCACAGCCTTTACTTCCTGGACTTGAGTCATTACTTCCACCCGGGGCACAGGTATTTTCATCATGGCCCACCCCCTGCCATGCCATCTAGTTTTTCCTCTGCTCTGTGGGCATAGGGTCCAGTGTGAGAATACCAGAAAAGAAGCATTAGGACTGTTACTACCTGCCATTCCTTGTTTTGTGTATTATCTCCCTGTTTCCCATGTTTTGGACGGTTGGAAATATTTCATTATTCCTGCCTATAATCACCAACAATTTGAGCTGAGGAAAAGGACACCATCCTCCCCACAGTACTAAATTACTTTTTGCTCTGACTCATAAAACACCACCACAGACAAAAAGAAAACTTTGTCTCAGGTGTCCCTGTGTTTTTGGTTAGACATTCTGTTGTATTTCTAGCACTTGCTTTTCCTGCTCTGGGATGTTTGGGGGCTGACAATTTCCCTCCCTCTCCATGAATGCCCAGTACTACTCTGAGATGGGGGCTTTCATTTCTTTCATAGAGCTGTCCCAGGTCCATAGTCTCTACATGTGGCAGGTGCGAGGCGTTGGTGGCCCGTGTGCTGATAAAGGCAGGAGGAGGCACAAAGAATCTATCAACTCATAGGTTTATGCAGATGTGAGAGCATCAGCTTGCTCTGCTCAGAACCATCAAGCCCTTAGTGCATTTCTAGGTGTCAGCAGAGAATGCATCTTTTCCTTGATCCCATGTCACCACTTACTCCAAGTTATTTGATATTTTTGAGCCATACTTTGCTCATTTACTAAAGGAGAATAGAACTACATTTCATAAGAGATATTGTGGGTACAAAATATGTTAATGAAGCACCATAGGTAGAGTTTGGCTCACAAAAGGTGGTATCACTAGAGAAAGTTCTAGTGAAAACTTGTGTTGTATCACTAGAGAAATTTCTTCACCTAACTCTATCAGGACTTCTCCAAATTTCCAGTAATTTTTTTTCCTACTGCAACATCTTATGGAGAATGCATAGTGTGAGTTAGCCAGGTTACTATAATTTTCTCTCTTCTCTCTGGTCAGCTGACTCCCAGGAAGTAGATATATTCAGGAGGTTGATCTTTGTGTAGTAATCTGAAATGCAGTGAGAATGCAGAGAACAGACTGGACCATCAAGCCCCTCTCCACCCTAACAAGGCTGGTGTGAGGTGGAAGGGGTTGGGGATCGGGTAGTTTCTGTCCTTCCTGTTGTCTTCTCTATCAACATTCATCCGATTTCTAAAGGGAGAAGAAAGCTTTTGCATTGTCTTTCTTTGTGTACCTTTAAGTAGCGTAATCTTTGATATGGAAATAAAATAAGTGCGCACATACACACACACACATTCTCTCTCTCTCTCACACACACACACACGGATGTAAATCCAGATGGAGCTAATAGTGTTATTACTGACATTCACAGCAGTCTTGCCACACGTGTAAATCGACCTTTGGTATCTCACTGCAGCTCATGTAACCCTGCGGGTATTCTGCCTTTATGAAGACATCAGCCTGGACTTGCTGAATGTTGTCACCATTGTCACAAAGCACACGGCCCAATGATGCCTGTTTCAGCTGAGTGAGTTGTGCGGGGGTAAATACTCCAGGGTTTTCATACCAGAACCTGGTAGTCAACAAAGAAAGGCACAGTGTGATGGGTCTGCGGCCTGAACACTGAGCCCCACGCCAAGGAATCATAGTGAGCAAAGAAGAGTTCAGCTAAAGAGAAGCATATGGAAAGGATTATGCTTTCTCCAACTAAGGATGCTTTGAATTGCCTCCAATATTGATAAAGTTCTTAAATCTCATGCTTTTGAACTATCACTTTCTATTCAAGTTTTACAAAATGATTCAAAGGAAAGTTCTGTAAAGTTGAAAAAAAAAGAAAAGCAGATCTTTAAATCTAAAACTCCAAGGACTGGCCTTAGAAATTGCCTGAGAAATTTAATATTGACAAGTTTGTCTAAAAGAAAAATTTTAATTATTAATATACATTAGTTGATTACATCTATTGGCTAATTAAACACATTCAATTTTAAATGAAAGGATACAGTTTAAAAAATATTAAAATGAGCCCTTGTGTTCGTTTCTTCAAGAAATATTTAAGTACTATATGCCAAGCACTCTTCTCATGCTAGACATACAAGAGCACATTAAGAGAGGAAGCAAGAGACTTGTTGCCACTCACAGGGTATCATGGGCTGAGTTCTGTCCTCCCCAAATTCGTATGTTGAAATCCTAACCCCTAGGACCTCAGAATGTGACTATATTTGGAGATAGGGCCTTTAAAGAGGTCATTAATTGAAAACAAAGCCAGTAGTGGATCCTAATCCAATATGACTACTGTCTTTATAAGAAAAGGAAATGTGGACACAGGTACAGAGGGAAGACCATGTGAAGACATGGGCAGAAGACCGCCATCTACAAGGCAAGGAGAGAGGCCTCAGTAGGAATCAACCCTCCCAACACCTTGATCCTGGACTTCCAGCCTCCAGGACCGTGAGCTAATAAACGTATGTCAGTTAAGCCACCCACTCTGAGGTATTTTGTCATGGCAGCCCTAGAAAACTAATACACATGGGGAAGACAGCTTCCTCAAAACCCAGAGCTCAAATTTGACTACATATATTGTTAAATTATTACCAATTGAGCATATTACCCCAATTATTTGTTGTGCTAAATCCAGAGTGCCAAAAATAATTTACAAAAATTAATTTAATGAAATATTATACTATTAATGTTTGCCAACATACAATAAAAAGAATGAAATCTTTTACTACTTTCTTTATAATACAATTCATAAGTGAAAGAGATTTGGAAGAAAAATTTTAAGTTAAGGATGATTTTTAGTATAACTTTAACTAAAAGCTAAGGTCCAGGCAGTGTTTTAAGCCCTTTATATCTATCATCTCTACAGTAACACAGAAGGTTGAACTGTCAAACAGGTTCACAAGAATCCTAGCTCTTACTCAAGACTGTACTTTACCAATAATTCAGAACATATGACACCCTGGAACACATTTGGTGCAAGTGATAGAAAAGAGCTAACAGTATGTTCCATGCCAACTCAGAGGGAGCAGCTTGGTTTTGAGTTTTCTTAGTTTTTATACTTGGTTAGTCTTTCAACAGTAGAGAGATTACATAACTAACTTACATTCTCCTGACACCTGTTTCCCATAATTTCATAAATTCAAGTTTATTTACAATAAACACTTTGGACAAACCAAGAGATGTTTTTGGAAGAATTTCCAGTTATCTTTCTAGTAATAAATGCCCTCATCACATAGTTTTGCAAGGAGGTCTGGTCTCGAGTCAAGAGGTCTTCAATGAGGCGAGAGGGAGGGAGTCTCAGGCCTGCTGTCAACTCCTGCTTTCCTGACATCATTGACAGCTACCACAATCTGCGAAATTTGTCTACTATCGTTATACAGACTTTACAGATGAGGAAAGAGGTTTAGGTTTACAGGGATATGCTTCCCGAAGTTAAACGGCTGTAGGTAGTGGTGCACACATTCACGTACACAGGAGTGAGTCTGGTGCATCTTCTTAACCACTGATTTCTATCACCTCCCTAGACAGGCTATTTCTTTTCTTCTTGCAGAGAGCTACAAGAACTTACAAAAATGAATGCTCTCTGGTATTATCAGTGGTCAGAAAAATTCTGTGGCCAGGTGCTATTTGTTATTTCTTGTCTTCAATATATTTTAAATTAGAGATAGTATGAAATCACACTATAATATTATGCACATATTTTGGGGGGCAAAGAAACAATTTTGTCATCTTTGATAAGTATAAAATAATGCTTCACCTATCTCCATCTCTTAGCTGCTGAAACTGGGTAACAAACAGGCACATAAGTGTTGGTCCCACTCTTGTACCAGGGATCAGGTCTTCGACCATGAGAGCGGGCCAGAAGTCAATGTTGCCTGGAGTGCCATACAACCTGAAACAGACACATTAGAGTTTGAAAGTGACATTGACAGTATTATTTATACAAAGGACTACTAAGCATTATTTTATTTGATACACACAGAAAAGAAAGGCAGGTATTATTATTATTCCCATTTCACAGGTAAAAGCACTGAGATAATGGAAGAATTCAGGGGTCGCCCAGCTGGCTAGGGAGCAGAGCAGTAACCTAACAGGAGTATTTAAAACCAAAGTCATATAATATCCACTGTGCTAGCCTTTATAATTACCCCATAAGTATATGCAATATAACTATACATGTGAGCATGTGTATGTATATGGGTGTCTGTGTTTGTATATATATATATATAACTAATTCTTTCAGAAGCATGTAGAAAATAAACAAATGAGTTAGAAAGCATTCAAAAGTTTCCATGTCAGTGTATATGATGGGTATGCTTTATAAACAGAGTGAAAAACTGATTTGTGGAAATAATGTAATGTGTTAGATAAATTTTCTCTTGCTAAAAAGACGATGATCACTTGATCTGGGATTTGAAGCAATTTTTAAAACCGGCAATGAAGTTCAAAATGCGAATGATGATTTAAACCAAACAGCTTTGGATACATTAGCCACTTAAAGAAAATATGAATAACCTTGAGACTCCTTGCGGAGTCTCCTTGCTTTGATTGTGTTTTTATGCCTGACTCTAAGGATAAACAAGACAACAACTTTACCTGTCCCTTACTTTACTTTATCATTTCATTTCATGTGTATGATTCCATAGACCACATACAACTGAGCTTTGCATGTTTTAACCTTAACACAGAGGGAAACAGTGTTCACATTCTTTTTATTTCACTCCACAGGCTGTCTGGAGATTCAATCGTGTTGCTGCATACAGCTGTACCTCCTTCACTTTCTCTGCTGCATAGCAGTCAGTTATTGGATACTCTCCCAATTTAGTTTTCTTTTCTGCTGGTGATGAATATTTGCAATGTTTTCAACTTTTATACTATGAACATTCTCACACATTTTTATTCATATATATAAGGGTCTTTCTAGACTAGGCATCAGCACATTTTTACTGTAAAGGACCAGAAAGTAAAATTTTCAGCATTGTGGGCCACATGTTGCAATTACTCAACTCTTCCATTTTGCATGAAAGGAGCCATAGACAGCACATTAAAAAATGGACACAGCTGTGTTCCAATAAAGCTTTATTTACAAAATCAGGCACTTGGTCATATTTGGCCAATGGGCTGTGGTTTGCAGAACCCTGCTCTGGAACATGCTGTTACTAGAGCTACAAATGCTAAGTGCAGAGCATGATATCTTTAACTTTAACAGACAAAGCCAAGCGGCTGTCCAAAATATATGTACAATTCATACTCTCAGAATAGGCACATAGAAGTTCTCTATGATACATATCTATATGCATGTTTTCAATTTTGAGAGTGCCAAACTGCTATCCAAAGTGGATGTACACTTCCTACTCTCACAATAAGCATGTAGATAGTCTCTATCATCTATTTCGCAGAAATGTAAATCTCTTATCCCTTAGCACGTTGTAATTTGTTCTTCAAAGTGTTTTTTTTAGTTTAGCCAACTTTCATTGCTGCTACCCTTCTCCTTCCTCCTGCCACTCCTCCTCCTCCATTTCTTTTCTTGATTTCTGATGATAGCTGGGCTTTTTATATCTCCAAGCACTTGTTTGAGTGTTTGAGTGCTTGTTTAATTCAGATTCCTGTGTTGTATTATAGTTTCCTTCTATTTCAATTTTTTTTTCCCTGGGAGAAGTTTTCTCTGAAATTTTTAGATTAGCATTTCTCTTTTCTTGGTACATAGCTTTATTTGAAATTGGTCTTCTCTCTCTTTTTTTTTTGGTATTCCTAAGCATTTCACAAAATGGATTTCTAGTTCAGTAGCATACTCTTCTGTCACTGCAGTGAAGCATAGCCTCTTTGATTGCAATGTGGATGTGATGGGAGAGGAGTACGAAGGGGCGTGTTTTATTTCTCTTTCATTTCTACAGCTTTCTCAATTTCACTTCATTCTGCTTCCACCTCACTATCAAATCTGCAGGAGCACTACTCCTTGTCCACTTATCTCCTTCTTTCCCAGAAACAATGCTATCTCTGGGTACTTTCAGCCCTGTAACTGGTGCTGTAGACTCCTAGGTTCTAGAACTACATTGGGCAATTTAGTACTTAGTGTTGAGCTTTTTCTTTCTTAGAGAGATTTTTTTTTTCCTGTGCTTCATCTAGGCCATGTTTCCCTATCTTTTGTCCACAGAGACTTTTTATTTACCCTGTCCTTCTCTCCACACTCTCAGACTTGCAGCAGACGTGGATCTCCAATGGCAGCTCTCTTGGAACTTGTGGATTATTTTCAAATTTATAGTAATTTGAAGCTCATGCCAATCTCTGTCTCCTCCTAATTCGGAATGTGTGAGTCATGTGTTATTTGATGTGTCCTCTTTGTTGTCTTCTTTGCTGGTCTTATAGTTTTGCAGGAGGCTGTGTTGAGAGATTTAGAATCAAGTGACCATTATTTTCCTAGAGCTACACTGAAAATATGTTTACTTTTTGAAATTTGTGTGAATCTGATGGGTGTGAAGTGGTGATTCACTGTGATTTTGTATTCTCCTGATTATGTATTTGAGGATCTTCTATATATTGATTGGGAATTCATTTTTTTCTTATGTAAAATGCCTATTTATACATTTTATCCATTTTTCTGTTGGGTTATTTTTTTCTTGCTTACTTTAGTTCTCTACATATTCTGGATGTTAATACTTTGTTATCTACATTCAAATGTATTTCTCCAAGATTGCAGTTTGTTTTTTGTGTAATCACTCTCATTATGTTAGAGTTTGATGAAAATATTTTCCTAATTTTAAGGTCAGTTTTATAAATTTTTTATACCATTTTTTATCTTACTTAAAAAATTCTTTCCTTTCCCAATGTCATAAACATATTCTCCTTTATGTTTTGTAAAGTTTTAAAATTTTGCCTGCCAGATTTAAGTTTCTCATGTATTTGGGACTGATTTTCATATATGATGTGAGAAAGGAAGCCATACTCATTTTTATCCAAGGATAGCCAATTGTTGCTGCACCAATTATTGAATATATTCTCATTTCTCTTTAATTTGCCTTGCTATTCTTTCAAATGTCATGTTTCAATATACGAGCACATCTTTTGTGTGTGTCTCTCTATTCTATCAGTCTATTTAACTAGTCTTGAATCAATATCACACCGTCTTAATTACTAAAAGTTTTACAGTAAGTGTTGCCAGCTGGAACATGAAATCACCTAACTAGGTTCTTCTTAGCCATCCTCTCTACCAAGCGAATTTTATAATCAGCTTGTTGATGCCACAACAAAGCACTATTAAGATCTTAATTGGAATTACAATAAATATATCATTTTGAGGAAGTACTATCACATGCGTATTATTGAATCTTACTCTCCATGAATAAGACAGCTGTCTCTATTTCTGCAGGTGTTCTTTAATAACCATCCACATAATTTTACAATTTTCTTCAGAAGATACTGCACAATTTTTGTTAATCTTTTCTTTTCATTTGGTATTGTAATTTAATTTTTCTTATATTCCTCTTAGTTTACCAGATAGAGAATTTGCAAAAACTAATTATGACAGTTTTATTTTATCCTTTTCAGTCCTTTCTATTTCTTATTTTATTGTCTTGGTTGTCATTTTCAATACAAATTTGAATATAAATGATAGCTGACATTCTTGTCTTATTCATGCTTTTAAATGGTATGCTTTCAATATTTAATTAATTGTTTACAGTAGATTTTTTTAGATACTCTTTATTAAGTTAGGGTGTTCTATTTTTTCTAACTTAATAAATGCTAAGAGCTTTTCTTAAATTCAAGAGAGATGTTCCATTTTATGTGGAATGATTTTTCTACAAGTACTAAAGTGATCATTTTTTTCTTTTGTCTCTTCATGACATTTATTACATCAATGCTTTAAAAATCTTGGATCAATTATATCACCAGAATGAATCAATTTTGGTCATTTTTTTATATATACATTGCTCAACTTGGATTTTCAATGCCTTCTTTAGAATTCTTTATCTAAATTTATATGAGATATTATCTTATAAAGTTCCCTTTTTTTACTGTCTTTTGTTTAATGTCAAAATGTTACTGGCCTCAAAAAGTAAATTAGATACTGTTTTGTGTTTTCTTGTTTTGTATTCTCAGAAGGACTCCATGGGCCTTTGATACTGTCCACATTATATGTATAAATTGAACACTAGTTTTGATTTGAAGATGTGTCAAAAATTTATTTTGAAAAGCTTCCTTCCCATTTAAAGTCATAACATGGAATATTTTGCCAGAGTATTTTGTTTCTCTTTGTTGCTGTGTGCCCTAACCTGTATTTCCAACAAAATAAGTAAAAAAATATTTTATTACATTAATAGTACATTTTAATTATTGTTATGTGTTGAACTATGTCCTCAGAAAAGATATGTTGAAGCCCTAAGCCCCTTAAGTACCTATAAATGTGGTCTTACAGTTTTTGGTCTTACGATTACGGTCTTTGCAGATGTAATCAAGTTAAGACAAGGTCAATAGGGTGGGCTCTCAGCCAATGTGACCACAGACTCACAGTGAGACCGCGCAACGACAAAAGCAGAGATCGTGTGCTGCGGGTGCAAGCCAAGGAGTAGTGAGGGTTGCTGGCAAACCACCAGAAACGGGGAGGCCGAGGACTCTCCCCTACGGATTGCAGAGGGATCGTGGTTCTGCTGACACCTTGATTTGGGACTTCCAGCCTCCAGAACTCTGAGACAATAAATTTCGCTTGTCTTAAGCCACCCTGTTTGTGGTACTTTGTTACCGCAGCCCTGGCAAACTAACACAATTATTAGCAACCATAATTTCACACTAAATTCTCTCTCAGTTTTAAAAGCAATTTCCCTGCTAAAATGCTACCATTATCCTGTTCTTCCCATCTGCTTATTTTTAATGTAATGTAATTTTGAATATATCTTT